ACTAAGTAATAATATTTTAAAGCAAAAGTGAATATGGGGACCTTTTATAAATTAATAAATTCAATTTTTATCACGATTTTGTAATATTAAATAAAACAATGTTTGTTTTTTATTTTTCGGTTGTGCATAAAAGAAGAGAGTAATAGATAAAAAAAATTATATCTATTAATTGTTCTTTCTAGTAAAGAATGAATTTTTAATCTGTAAAAAATAAATGCGATATCTATACTTTCAACGAAATTATAATAATTATGTCTTTCTTTGCAGTAATGATCGTGAGAATATCATTGAATATTACATTAGAAAATATATTATTAATTAATAATTAATTTATCGACTTGATTGAAATAAAATGTGCAATGCCGAAACAAATTAGTTTGCTTCGAATTTATCGTTCAAAACGATAATTTACACTGCGTGGAAATAATTATTATACGTTATTATACGTTATATAATACAATCCTATTAATAGCGAATATTATCATAGCCAGTGCTTGAAGCTTTCATTCTTCGGAATTTTTTATTTCAGGTTTGGAGCGTTGCTCAATGGAACGATGCTCAATGGCGCGTTGTTCCTCGTTATCATTAACGAATACACCGCCGCTCCCTTGGGAAACCGGACATGTAACACATGGTGACGTAGCATCCACGTGAGGTATACACGTTGCATAAATATATGCTTCTACTCTTATTATTTACTATTTGCTATCTGTTATTTTACATTATATAGAATCTTATATTTCCATAATATTAAAATTTAATGTTTTTAATCAATTTGCACAGCTTTATGTTAATAAAAATGTATCAATAATTCATAAATTACAGAAAAAGAGAAGAGTTTTTTTCTTAAATAAATTTTCATAATTATTAACTCAAGCAAGTAATTCATGGATTCAATGTACCTTTTGCGATTTTTTACTGTAACTTTTTTATAATATAATTTGAAAATGATATGATAAGCTTACAAGGATATTTTTTTTTGCGTTATTTTCAATATGAAAATGCACGAAAGTTCAAAGAGGATACTTCACATCCATACATGATTAGCTTATGTACTTTTCGGCGTTCTGGGTATCTCTTTATTTTTTTATTAAATATACATTTACTGAGTTTCGGATAGTATAAAAGTAAATACACGAAAATGTAAAATTAAAAAGAATTATTTCAATATAATAAATAATAGAAATTTTATAATTTCTGTCAGTCTTCGGAGATCGCTCGGCCGGGGCGGACGTATTGCTTTAGAGCGAGTGTTGCATCATCCTCTAAATTAAATTCTAATAAACTTAATTATATATATTATAATAATATTTATACATGTACAATCATTTATCTATTATTTTATATTGTTTAAATAATAAAATTTTATTTATTAATTGTAAATTTATAATATGTAGATTTTTCAAAAATATCGATTTTCGATAGTTTAAATAATTATACCTTTTTGAGCGATTATCGTACTATTTTTTTTTTTGTTAGTCCAAAGAGTCAACTAAAAAATCTTACTAAATTTTTTACTTGAACAAATTTAAATTTCAATTTAACAAATTTAAATTTAAAAATTGAAAATTTTTTATCCAAAGTAGTCATGTTTTTACGAATTTTTCCAATGTAATTAATTGAAGCATTGTAATTAATTGAAAATAAAATATTTATTTGATTCATATTTATGTCTTTGTCTGACTTCAAAGTACAAATTTCACACGTTTTGAACTAAAAAAATACGCATTCAGTCCAGAGATATAACATGATAAAGTTTACGAATCCTGATGTGATCAGGAAGATAACCAAAAATAACAATGATTTTCTAGGGTTAAATCAATATTAAATTAATTTTCATAATTTATTATTACAAAAACTCTTCATCTAACATATCCAGTTTATTATTGTCATATAATCAGAATGTCATAAATCACAGAGCTGTAATAACATAAGAACTTTATAAATACAAATCTTTATATCTAACAGAAATAATGTCACGCACTACAAAAAAAAATTTATTATAATTGTGAAAAATATTACTTCAACGAGATTTTGTTTTAAAACCGAAAATTTAATTGGCCCCCGATTTGTAGAATTAGATATGTATATAAATTCACTCTGAAATATTGTTATGTATGTTCTATGTAGCTCGAATCAAAAAAGCAATTGCTTTTCTTAGTTGTATTTTCATATATCGGTCTAATATTATTATTGTTTATTGCTTTTTTATTATGTAAATAAAATATTGCAAAATTAAACTCTGTTTCAGTTAAATAACAGTAACGATAACGACTAATTTTTGAAAATTAATAATTAACGGTAACTAGTTATTTATTTGAGTCGATAATGAGTAACGGTGACTATTTTTAAAAAGTAATTTTTCAATCCTTGCTAATAATAAATGTCAATGGTAATTTCCAGCCACAGATGCCGCCACGCAGACGGAGGATTTCGGATCCCCGGACGACGCCAGTTAGTACAGCGTGGCGGCAAGCCGACATCCGATGCTCCAAAACTACTGGGCACAATATCCATTATCTATACACCGATATCTGCAAAATCATGTCGCATCCTCGCTGGCACGAGTTTCGCTTATCGAAGAAGAGAACAATCGTGACGATGTAGCAACGTTAAATGGAACGAGTCGTTATCATCGACAGAGTCACTTAGAATTCACGCGTTTTAAAAGTTTGCCAGATCTTATCCGAGATATAGAACAGCGATGAAACACTGATTAACGGTTATCATTGAATCAAAATATTGCTGTATATCACTGTCATCATCGTTATTATTTCATCATTATTATACATAAGAAAGCATGAACTCATCGGTTGCAACAGCATAAGGGAACGTGAATTCCATGCTTCGAAACGAGCATACTCGAAGCGTGTGTCGACACACCACGATTAGCTCTCGTCGCGACGAGATCGATTACGGAAATTAATTACGACACCAACGAGGATACTAATCGCGCTGCTCTCGACGATATACATGTAGATGTTTAATCACGGCGGAGCGCACTGCGAGTGTTAACGTCATTTGCGCCCGCATCCCTATTTTCCACGATTAATTATTCACGCATGAGTGTTCGTCCTACAAGCTGCTCAACATAAAGTTGCTTTTTCTTTGAGCATATAACTTTGAATACTTTCTTCAAAATCTTTTAAGATAAATTCATTTAAAAGCAAATTCCGAATTCGAAGCATTTCTTTTTATTCACAGATTTATTTTTTTAATTTATTTATTAATTTATAAAGGCAAATCCTTATTCAAGAAATCTTATCTTTAATCTTATCTTTTTTTTTAATTTAAACTTTTTGAAGGTAGCTTAAAAATATAAATATACAATAAAGGAGCATATAGCCACAGCTAAAGATTTTTTTTAGAGATAAGTAATATATTTCGAATTCAAAATAATATTACTTATCTCTAAAAAAACGTCTTTAGCTGTGACTATATGCTTCTTTATTATATATTCTTACTTTTAAAATAAATTGACAAGGCTGCTTCAAATTGTGTGATGTACTTCGTACAAGTTGTGTGATGTTAATTAATATTTGCGTATTGAATAATTATGTATTTCGAGAAAAAAATTGAGAACGTTATATTTAAATTGTAATTGTTTGCTCAAGCTCAAGAGCTCATTGGTATGAATTATGAAGACCAATGCATAATATTTTACATCCATCATTATTATATATGTATTTTATAAAAAAATTTAATAAGAAGATAAATACAGATATTTGAAATAACTCTTTTAATATCGCAGAGTTGTATACCGTAATAAATAAACTGCAGATAAAATATGCAATAGCAATTTTGTTTGCATTTTCAAAAAATGCAAACAACATTGCTATTGCATATAGTTTTTTATTCAATAATTTCTCGTTTTTTGTAAAATTTTAAATTGTTATTAGAGATAAGTGATCTGCGATATTTTCTAAGAAGTTTATTCCAACGATGATATAATAAGGCAAAAATTAATCGTATTATTTTTATTTAGCATAATGCAAATAGAATAATGCAAAAACAGCCTTGTAAATTAAACTATAACAGATTTGAATCAATTGTAATTGTATATTGACTTTTCAAATGCATATTGTATTTGAAAATATCAATATGTAGAGTTTTGTTTAAATCATTACCAAGATAATAATTATATATAAATAAAAAAATTTTTAATGTGGAAATGACTAGAGAACTTGTATAAAGCTTCCTAGCAGAAGCAACCTCTAGTACTGACCAATTTATTATTGAAAGACAATAATTAATTAATTTATTTGGCATACTAAACATACTGAACAACAGTGCTCTTAAAATAAGTACTACTTATTAAAATAAATAATTAATTACTGTCTTTCAGGCAATATTAGATTTCTGTAAAAAATATTAAATATTGCAGAAGAATTCAGAATAATTAAAAGAAATGTGGAAATAGCATCTCCGCTTTAAAAAGAAACATAGAATCGATATCGTACATAATTTAATTCGTTATATGTTGATGAAATAAAATCTTATATGTAAAAAGAAATTATCTTCTACTAATACTTAGAATTTTCTATTCAGCGAAAGAAGATGTCGAGATGATTGAAAATGAAAACATTAACGAGATCGACGACGCCTTCATAATTTCTCATAAAAAGAGAATCCTCTGAAGACTTTAATATATGTGAAATAATTACACTCTTTCAATTTATAATTAGAAATATTGCGCACCGCTCTGATGTAAAAAGATTTGTATAAGAAGTAATACTCTTTATACGGCTTCTCGTATTGCTAATTTTTTTTTAATATATAAATTAATTTATAAATTTAAAATAATTTATAATTTATTAAATATTATATATTGTTTTAAATATATAAATTAGTTTTTATCATTATATTTATAATTATCTAATTTTCCTTGTTAGAATTTCTCTAGCCTTTTTAAAAGTTTCTTCTATTTTTTTATTATTCAAATGTCATGTTTCGCTGTATTAAAAGTTTATGTTACATCAAATTATGTTACAAAATGTATTTCTTATAATATATTTATATTTATTTTATATTAACTTTTTAAGATTTTGTTAATATCACATACAATAGTACTACTTAATTTTTGTAACATATTTATAAATTTTATATTATTATGGGGATCATTTTAGAAAAAAATATCTTTTCTCGATTATTTTAATTTATGCCGTGAAATATATAGTTAATGACAGATAGAATTGCGTATATCGTTAGACTATATTAACTAGCGAGTAAGTTTTTCAAGAATTTATATCAAGAAACATTTACATTTCACGATGCATAGTCACGTTAAAACAAAAATTGATGCTATTAATGAGTGCCTGAGTGCTCACATGAATGCAGCGATTATTCGCGTATTCTAAATTGACAAAATCCACCTATTGTATTTTATCCGTTTAAATAGTTAATAAATAGCCGGTGGATTATGTGTTTGTTTTCAAATTGCTAATAATCAAATATATCGTGTGCCTCAGATGGCTCAGACTCTTTGAAGTATCCACTTCAAGAGCCTTATTCCTCTTCATCTAAGATCTCATAAGAGATTGTTTAATGAAAAACCTGTATTTGTATATTTAAAAAAAAAATAAGGAATGTCTAATTGATTATGAATTTGTACGTTCATACGTATATAGCGATTGAATCGTATATATTAAAGAAAAGAGACTCTATTCATAAACGTGAATAATAAATATAAAAAAATTGCACATGTTGTCGAGAAAATTATTTCATTTAAAAGAAAACTTAAGTTTATTTCAAGTACTTCTGTAGGAGGTTGAAGATATTTCTAAAAAATAAACATACAATTATTGACGTTATTACAGTCTTATCATGTTCATTTTACATTACATTTTCAAGAGACTAATGCAAAAAAAAACTCAAATTGTCGAACTAAACAAGTAAAATTATAATAACATTATACCGCATTAATTATATAGAATATCTTCAATATAAAGTCTTACAAACTGTATTTTTTGAGACTCTCTTAAACGTAAAGATAAAAATCTTTTTACGTATGTTAGAAACTGCTGATTTTTTAATTAATATTTTAATTTTAATATATTGAAACAGAACAAATTTCCAGAGAATTATACATATGTACATGTACTTCCGAAACAAATCATACCATAAAAACTGCACAAATCATTTTGAGTAATGTGGAGAATGATCACTAAATCTCTTAGCGCGATAAAATTTAAATGCAAATTTAGTATTAATATTTGCGATGTAAAAAACGATGTAAATAAGAATAAGAAGAGACATCACCTCACCCTTTTACATAGTAAATCAGTGTGAAGGTTCGATTGGAAAAGACAGTAAAAATGAAACACTGCCTGCAAATGATCATCATCGGCACGAGACTGTTTATTGTCCGCGATGATGTCTCGATTTACGTTAAGTATTGAATCAAATGCAAATGCGTTTTTGTATTCAATAATTCAACACATACCAATTGCGCATGTATAGGTAGAGAATTTTAGATAAGATTATTAGCCAAAAGCAAAACGGCAACTAGTTAGATTATTAAAGTAAACGTGAGACTTTTAATAATCCACTGAAATTTAGTAATACCACCGAATAAATGCCTTAAGCAAAAAATCTTTTATAAATCGGCATGGACTGAAAGAAGAAAGCAAATATTGTACATATTCTGCAAAAAAGTGCTGGAACAATGCATTTAATTCGGCTATTTTTTGCAGAGTAAATAAGAATTGAGCGCCATAATTCATTTAAGTACAATAGCTGCGTCTTGTATTTATATTTAAATTATTATTAAGTTATTATTAAGTTATTGACTGTTGGCATTGTAAATCACAATTTAATAAAGTCTCAATT